TTTGAATTTTTATCAATTCCTCTTGAATCTCCTTCTTCTCCATTTTCCTGCCAAAAACTTTGCAATCAGGTCATGTGTGTGATGCTCTGTCAGTGGATCCATGGTCTCGATACTGTTCACAAACAGAAGAAAAATTCTCTCATCAGGGATGCAACCTCCTTTCTCAGTGTTGCAACTCATGTGAATTTTTGTTTCTTGCTGCCTAAATCAAGAACAAGTGTTAAAAGTGAAAATTGCCAAACCAGTGGTTGCAGTTAGAAAAGGAGTGGGGATGGAGGGAAGAAACACAGGAGATTTCATACCAGCTTCCAGATGGAGAGAAGAACTTGCGATAGAAGTGAAAAAATTGCTGTTGGAACAAAGAAAGAGTAGGGGACAAATTTTGTTGAAGATAAGAAGGAAAAGTGACCATTTTTCTACTAGATTTTTGGCTTTGACAACCCCTGAACTTCGCGGAAAGGCCAATTTCGACCTTAAAGAATTTTGAGGGCCATTTCAGACCTCAAACTAAGTTGAAAAGGCCACCGGTAGCCCAAAAAACACACGGTGTTAGTGATGCCGTTCACAATCTGTTAAATAATGAATAAAATAATAAGAAATGCTGATGTGGCATTATTCAACTAAAAAAAATGAAAAATTACAAGTGGGTCCCACTAAATAAAATAAACTATTTAATATATAAATTAATAAATGTTAAAAATAATATATATTTGGGTCCCACTTGAAATTTCCTCTTTTAAGAGAAAAATAATAAGTGGATCCCACTTGAAAATTTCTCCTTTAAGAGGAAAATAATAGGTGGTCCCCCCCACACMCCCCCCCCCTCTCTCTCTCTCTCTCTTCTTCTTCTTCTTGTTCTTGTTCTTCTTCGTCTTCCTTGGCGCCATGTTCATGTTCATTGTCGTTTCTTGGTGAGCAGAGGACGTTTGCAGCAGTGGTTCCTCTGCTCGCATTCTGCTTCTTTGGAATTTTTGTGTTCCTATGCAATTGGATTTCGTAGACATGGGATTGCATTTCAAGCAAATCAGAGCCTAGACATAGGATTGCACTCACTGAATATGATCGATGCCATGCTTTCAGAAGGCCAAATAAACGGAATAAAAACATTGGAGAGAGTCCTCCCTACAATAGCCATTTTACACATTCCTTTTCAGCAGCAAACTTTTTCTATAAGAAAGATGTTGACACAAGCCATTCACTTGTTCTCTGCCTTCTTGGATTGCCTATGGCTTTCAACCTTCTTCCTTGCAGCTTCAAATTCTTTTTCGGTGGGTTCTGGATGTGATTCACTGCCATTATATTTTGCCATCAATGATGAGAACATGGAAACAAATTGCTCTTTCCTTTGACTTCGTCGTTGAGAAATAACTGCAAGCAACTTTGACTCAGACTCTTTGTTTGATTTTTTTCTTTGTTTTAGAGGATCAGTAGGTGGCTCTGTTTCAACTACTTGCTTTGCCCATTTCTGGTAGGCTTTGGTTGCATTAAGCTCTCCTGCAGCTATAGTCTCATCAAGAATATCCTTGAACTTGTGTGAATCCAGTTCAGGATCTGAACAGAGCATCGAACAGAAAAGCATGTTCATATTTGCCCTTGTACTTCTGAAAAAGATCCTTCAAATCATTCTTCTCTGAACCAGACCCTTGGTAATTTGTTTCAAGCTCTTCGATATTAGCTTCCATAACCTTTTTGTACATTGTTCTGAAATAGTCGTGCAGATTTTGAGCCACTTCCCCCGCAAGCTCAGCATCATCAATACAACCAGTTTGATCATATGGTGCCTTTTTCTTGTCATCTCCAATAATGGATATCGCCTTCTCTAGTGCGAGCAGAGGAGCCACCACTGCAAGTGTCCTCTGCTCGCCCAGAAATGACAATGAACATGGCGTCGAGTAAAGAAGAAGAAGAGAGAAAGTGGGACCTACCTATTATTTTCCTCTTAGAAGAGAAATTTTCAAGTGGAACCCACCTATAGTTTCAAGTGGGACCCACTTATAATTTCAAGTGGTGCCCACCTATTATTTTCAACATTATTAATTTATACATTAAATGCTTTTTTTTTTAATTTAGTGAGACCCACTTGTAATTTTTCATTTTTTTTAGTTGAATAGTGCCACATTAGCATTTCTTATTATTTTATTCATTATTTAATAGATTGTGAATGACGTTACTAACACTCTGTGTTTTTGGGCTAAAGATGGCCTTTTCAATTTAGTTTGAGGTCTAAAATGGCCCTCTAAATTCTTTAAGGTCGAAACTGGCCTATTTGCAAAGTTCAAGGGTTGTTAGAGCCAAAAATCCTTTTTCTACTGGGTGAAGCTATACAGTGGTTGAAAGGCTTCATCAATGGAGTACTGTACTCTATGAGGGTGGAAGGATGGAAAGGTGTTTTGGAAATTCCAAGAAGGAAGTATTTGGTGGAGTTGAAGAGGAACCGAAAAAGGGTTGGTTTGTGGTGGTATCTGAATTTTTTGGACACAACAGTAAACAGCTAATCTGTTTACCCAAAGGAAAGCAAGGGATGGAAGCTAGTTGCAGAGAAGCTACAGAGTTTTTCTTTTTGTTGTGTATTTATCTATGTATGGTCTGCAGGGGTATTATTGTCCTTTTATGTTATTTTTATTAGTTGTACTGTCGCCCTAGTATTTATACTAATAGAGGTGCCGCCAGCCATGCTTTTTTGGCTCTCATTCTTTCTTCTCTCTTCTCTCCCTCTTCTCTTCTCTACTCTCTCTTTTAACCTCGATAATATGGTATCATAGCAGGTGGGGTCCTGAAAAGCAGATCGAGATTTTATCTTTTCCCTTTTTTCTTGTTCTCTTGGATTGAAAGATATCTACAGATTACAGATCTGATCTGAGAAAACCGTAGGGCTCCATCCTTTTCCTTTTTTTTTTAATTTTTTCTTCTTGGTCGTGTGCCAAGAAAACTCAGAAATCTAAATTAGATGCTGTGAAGGAGATTAGAAATCTCCTGTGGATTGTAGGATCCTTCTGTAACAAGGAAAGTATACTTAGTAGGTCTCATATGACCTTTTAGTGTGGTGAACACTGTGGACTGGTGCTGTGAAGCTTTTGTGGGGTCTGTTTTTGGTACAGTACTGTGTTTGTACAGACCTGGAAGTACTCAGATCAGTGTTGGGAAGGTGCTGTTTGGCGTACAGTAATTTTTTCTGGGGATCCATTGTGAACCGAAGCAGCTAGGGTGCAGTTCCAATGGCCTCTGAAGACAGTGTTACTTCTGGTGTTACATCTGGACAAAGAGGACTGAACAGTAACATTGACCATGTGAATTTTCCAATGTCCATTACCTCCCTTGATGGTAGTAATTATCTCGCATGGTCCAGAGAGATGAAGTTATATATTACAGCTAGGGGGAAGATCGGTTACATAAGTGGAACAGTAAAAGAACTGAAGAATGGCACTACTGAATATGATAGGTGGAATCAGGAGAACTGCTTAATCATGTCTTGGCTTCTCTCTACCATGTTACCATCGATCAAGCAGAATTTTGTGTGGGCAGAGACAGCATATGAGATTTGGGAGTAGGCAAAATCCACATACTCTGAACAGAGGCATTATGCTAGAATCTATCAGCTGCAACCTGCAAGCAGAGTCTTCTAGATGCAAAGAGGGGAAACGGAGTTTATCAGCCTACCATTCTGCCCTTTCCTCCATTTGGACGGAACTTGACTACTATTAGAGAATTGAATGGGAGAGTGGTAAAGATGCTAAAGCCTATAAAGCCCTAGTTTTCAGCAGTGTGTGTTTTGCCTTTTTACTATGGCTGAATTTAGTGTATGAACCTACTAGGGTTCAAATATTAGGTAGTAAGGATCTCCCTTCCATCAATGAAGTGTATGCCTTAGGAGGAATGCAATGAATAATTCAGAGGGGGAGTAGATTGCTCTAGCTGCAAGGAGTGTCATGAATACCACTAAGAAAGGGGATTTCCAAAAGAAAGGGGATGGGAAAGATAAATTATGGTGCACTCACTGTCAGCAACCTAGACATACATGTGAAAGTTGTTGGAACTTAGTTGGAAAACCAAGTGGTCTCAAGAACTGAGTAAGAAATCAGCACTGGAACAGAACAAGAAACCAAATCCTTAGTATCAGGGTCGTTCCTCTAGTTAGAAGAAGTCTGTCTCTACCAATGTGGCTTTTCAGGAGCAAACAACTAGTTCTTCTATGAACACATCTCAAGAGTATTATTCTGGTTCAGATCCTAAGGAAGACTTCTTCAATGCCTTCCGTGACCATTTGGAACCATATGTGGTAGGGCCCTTCGACAGATGGATTCTGGGTCCACCCCCTCGACTTCCTTCGTGTCTACATCAGGCAACACTACCTTGGATTTCCATGTTTCCTCTCAGACTTCGGAATCACCATGGATTATCAATTCTGGAGCTCCCAACCATATGACTAGTAAGTCCTCTTTGTTTCAGTCCTATATCCTTCTTTCTGGCAAAGAAAAGGTGAGACTTGCTAATGGTTCTTTCTCTTCCATAGTTAGTTGATGAGCTATCTCTCAATCGTTTGGCTTTGCTCTTCTAGATGTGTTTCATGTTCCTAATTTACCTATTAACTTGTCATCTATTAGTAGCATTACCCGTTCCTTAAATTGTTCAGTTACCTTTTTGCCTCATTCTTGTGTGTTTTAGGATCTGGCCTCTAGGAGGATGATTAGAAGAGGAAACTTGGCAGATGGTCTCTGCGTGCTAGAGAATAAAGCTGGTCTTGTGGCTATAGGTTCTATGAGCCAATCCCTTGTGAGTAGTGCCTACTTGTGGCACAATCGTCTTGATCGTTTGTCTTTTGAGTGTTTGAAAATTTTGCTTCCCAAATTGTTTAAGTCCATGTCAATTTCTGAGTTATAGTGTCAAACATGTCAGTTAAGTAAGCATTGTAGAAGCTCCTTTCCAATGAAGAAATAAAAGATCGGCTTTTCCTTTTCACATTGTATATTTTGATGTGTGGGGTCCTGTTACTATCCCCTCTGAGATTGGCTATAAATATTTTATCACATTTATTGATGACTATTTCTGCTACACATGGATTTATCCAATGTGTTCAAGAGAAGAAGTACCAAAGGTTGTGCAAGATTTTCACCTAGTTTTAGACTGAAATACAATTCTTTGAGTCTAACAATGCAAAAGAGTATTTTCATAGTGACTTGACAGAATTTTTTACTTCTTGTGGTACTCTTCATTGAAGTTCATGTGCAAGAACCCCCCCAACAAAATAGTGTTGCAAAAAGGAAGAACCGACATTTGCTTTAAGTTGCTCGGGGCATGTTATCACATGCATGTTCCCAAGCGTTTTTGGATGGATGTTGTTTTGTCTACAACATATGTTATCAATCGTATGCCTTCCCGGCTGTTATCAAACCTTTTTCCCATAAGTATTATATTTCTATGGATGTATCCGTTTTTGAATCTGAACCCTTCTTTCAAGGAGAGAGTAATGTTGAGGAGAAACCGACTTAAGTTTTGCTTCCTCCTCATCTTGATCCTCCTCCCTTTCATGTCTTTCTCCGTCGTCGCAAGGATCAACAATGTTCAAGAGTTGTGGAACAGCTTGAAGCTGTGCAACCAATACCATCGAACTCTCCGGGGGTAGATCTATTGCAATCAGGTACCATTTACCCAAAAGGGCCTTATTAACCGTTTTGAGATTTCTGATGCCAAGGCCTCCAAATTTTCTAGGTTCGCACATCAGTCATGACTCATTAACTCCATAGGTACTTGGAAAATGACTTCTCTCGAATGTGAATGCATGCATAAGTTCATTGCGTTTGCATATAATTTTGGATCTGAACCTGGTACACCATTTAAAACCTCAATGCACCTACTAAGTGGATATGGGTCAGGTAGTGGAACTAATGGCAAACTCTTTTCATGATCTTTATTCATATGGTACGTTGACTCCATAGTAAATGCCATGCAAGCTTCACCATAAGCCTTCAAATTGTTGACTAATGTTTTTGACCTTTTGGGGTAATGACTTTGTCTAGGGATATTGGTCTCTTCCCTCTATTGGAAATATTTGTGCATCTGATGTAAGCATGGGATTTGAAGAATCCAACCTAGTATACTTAGTTTGGTATTTACCAGAATCCAATAAAAAGTTACTACTCTCTGCATCAGGGGTATCTTTATCTTCTTCCCTAGAAGATCTTGCACGAATAGTAATTTTAGTGGTGTCACAAAAAATTTTGCAAAGCTCATCCCACAAGGGAAATCCTGTTTGTAAATTTTTTTGCAATGAGATGATCTTGCATGGATGGATGTAATTGGATAAATTATATACTTAAATTACTAATACTTTAAAAAGATTGAATCATAAAATACATATGACTCACTCTTATGTAGGCCTCCCATACATCATCATATGCCAAAGTGATCTTCCTAGATGGATCCATACTAAAACCTGTTTGCTTGCATGCATTCTTGAACTTTTATACACACTTCATAGTTTTTGAATTTTGTTTTTCAGTTGCATATCTGTATACTTGCACCCTATCTTCCTATTGAAATCCCTTTGAACTTCTTTCCAACCAATAGAGGTAAACGTAGTAGTCTAATTATTACCCTTTTTGCACTGCTCTACCATCAATTCAACAAATATCCTCTCCTCCTTTCTTGACCATTTGGCATTATCTTTTGTATCTCTAGATGTACTATAAGGCACGTTAAAGTGATGGGGTTGATTGGTACCTATTCATCTCGGGCCTAACTGGCCAAGTGGGAGATGATGGTAGAGTGGCCATAGGCCCTCATTTAATCCTCAACATGTTGGAATATCCAATGGCCATGTGACAAGCCACATGTTGATGGTTATCTCCATGCAACACTCTCACACACAATCATTCATTTTAAATAGTTACCTATTTATTTATTTTTTATAAAAAGCATTTTCATGCATGGAGATACCAATGCTGTTGGATTATTTGGATCCATATTCCAGCTCTTATTGGATCAATGGATATCCATTTGACCCGGTGTAGACTGGATGACCAAGTGGTTAGATCCTTGGTCAACATGAGACACTTGTCTCAAATCTGATGGAGCATGAATTCTAATGTTAAGGAACACTTATCTCAATTGGTTATTCTGGTAACTGTTTGTTCCTAATGTCAAGGAACTTAACGTTGGAGAAGCAACTATATAAGGGATCACTCCCAAGTGCTTCAACAACATGACATAAGTTCTTTACTGAGAAAGGAAAAATATCCTCTCAGCCTCAGCTCTGATCAGATTAAGCAGTTCTCTCTTACACTTTGTTTGAGAGGTTGGTGTCTCGGATCCTATACTGTGCAGCTGCTATTATTCTCCTTGCATGCAGGTTCGACACATAGAGATCTCAGCCGTTCGCTTCTGCATATACTTGGATCATCAATTAATGCAAGGGCTCGGGTGTTGGGTGGAGGCACTTGCATCAATGCTAGCTTCTACACAAGAGCAAGCTCCAGGTATCATATATATGTTTCTTCTTTCTTTAATTATAATCATATGTACGCAATAGATTAATAATTAATTTGTTTTGAACTCCTTTAGTAATTAGTGGGGTTTGAACTCAAGGCATTATTTCTTTTGGTTACCAGCAGAGAACTAGAGGTTTCTACTCAACTTTCTACATCTATTCTGGGTATTCAATTCTCTGAGGGTTGTGTTAAGAACTTCTTCCGTGTTCAGTGCATATATGAACATGTAGATACATTCATCTTTGTATGTGTAGCTTTAGGCGAACATGTAAAGAGTTCTGTTTTTATAGGATATATCATATATGTGTAGGTGGAAAGCAATTATTCAATCTTGTAGGATTTATAAAGGCACAAAAGATAAGCCCGGTTCATAATTCCTGAATCTTGATAAAATGCTGGATTAAGGCACCAACATTTTCATGATCAAAGGATTCAAAAGTTTTCTTGGTTCATCAGACAGCTACTAGTGTTGGATACTAAGTAAAGTTAAGGAGAGTTGTTTATAAGAAAATACAATCTGGAATCTGGATGATGAGTGAGAACTGCCAAGTATTGGGCAACGATACTAGACCTTTAAATCTTTACCCAATTTTAGTTCGACTCCAACTAACTACATGAATCCTGTTTTGCAGAGTTGGTTAGTTCTAGATTTGGTGTCAGGTTGAATAAATAAATTATAGGGAAGAACTGTTGCTCTTTTGTTGGGATCATTCTACAGTTTGTGGTCTTACTTTGTTTTTTTCCCTTGGCATTTCACTCAATTTGAATGGCAAAGAGAAAGGCTATTTTTGGATTCTCTGATGCAGAATACCATTTTTTTTTTGTCTTGGCTTTTTATTATGTGTAATTTTTAAGCAACTAGTTAAATTTCATTTGGTTAAACAGATCTTTCAACTAAAACTATGAGCGTATTTTTGCTTTCTAAAAAGGGCAGCCCCAGTGTACGAGGCTTTTTCTAATGCAGGGTCTGGGGAGGGACAGGTGTATGCAGCCTTACCCCTGCACATATAGAGAGGCTGTTTCCATGATTTGAACCCTGGTCACCCAGGTTGCAATGGAGTAACCCAACCAAAGGCCTACCCTCTGGAAGAGAGAAAAGTAGTTCTGGTTTTAGCATTTATTATAGTCTTTGACAACGGTACTGTTTCTCAGTAGTTACATGGATGTTGTAATGGATTCTATGTAAAGGATTTACTTTCTATAATCCTTCATGTTCTTAACAATTCAAATGCTAGGAAATGATTTATGAAGTACTCCTTCCCCTTAAAACTCAAACCGATGGTGAGAACTTAAGGCCTCATACAAAGATTCAACAAGAAAAAAGTTATTGTCTTTGTTGTTATAGACTTGTTAACATGTTTTAATTTCTTGATTTTCTTCCTTCTACCCTATTGGGTCTTTTGCTCTTATTTATTCTTAATTTTGCATATACTTAGGTGAGCCTCTAATATATAAAATCTGGAGATGGTTCAAGGATGAACCTCCTTCCCTCTATGTTAAGAACAGACTAGAGCTTTTGCTGCATTACTGGTTGACATTTTTTTAGTAAACGGAAAAAAAGTATTGTAGTACTGTAAGGAGGGTGAGGAATCCTTAGAATTTACAAACAAGTATGACTATAATATCCACATGACATATACAACATGTTCAAAAAATGATGGAGCTCTACTGATTCTGGAAACAATCAAAAGGAGCTCTCATGAATTGGTGTTGTACTTTGGCCCATCTCAACAAGGTCTATCATTTTTTTTCCATTTAATTTTTACCCAACTTTCTGATTATAGGTGACTTATCTAAAAATTTCCTGTGTGAATAAGAACAAGATTGTATTCCTTCCAAACTGAGCCTGTAGAATTCCCATGTTTCATTGTTCCAGACATTTATGCAAAAAACACGGTATTTTCCTTGATTGTATATGTTGTGTTTCCTTCCATGGCTTGAGCCCTAATGGCTAAAATTCATGGCAGGCTGGAGAGTTCTCTTCTCGCATTCAGCAGCTAGCTAGCTAGCTGTGGTTCTGCTGCCAACCAGGACTTGGTCGGTTCAAAATTTTGGATGAGTTGATCATTGACCTGTTGCTGAAGAAGGCATCTTAATATATGAATCAACTGTGCCAAGTGAAGCTAGGCAATGTGCTGAGGTGTTCCATATGTGCCTTCACTATGGTCCATGGAGATTTTTTATTCCTTCTTCCCCAATGACATCCAACTAATTTTCCCTAGTTCTGTTTTTTCCCATTCTTTGTTATTCTTCTTTGATAGAGAACTGCATATCTGGCTGTACTTGAAAAGCCCCAACCATGTAATTTTGGTGTATGCTGCTTATTGGAAGTAATTTAGACTCGCATTTCATTTTGTAATTGTGATTTTGAAGGTCAAAGGATTGACATGATCTTATAAGCATTGGCATTTTAAACTCTCCTCTGCTATTTGTTATTTGTGAAAATTCAATGGTTCATTAAATAACCAGAACTAGTTTGATTTTCATAAAGAAAACAAAAAATTATGACAACAGACTTAAATGCCCCAAATTTAAGCCCAAAATAGTGGCAGATGGTGTTTTCTTCTATCGTTCTAGAGGAAAAACTTGAATTAGGCTCAATTTGGGTTTAAAAGAAGAGGCAGCATGGTTTATTTCCAAAACTTTTAGGGGCATTTAAGACTTTATGACATGGTTATCAAATCCATGTCCAAAGGGTAAAATTGGAAAGAGATGAAAAAAATAACAATTTACCCAGTACAGTGGGTGTTGCAAAAGAATGGGAAAATAAGAAACATCATTTATCTGGGCAAATCAAACAAAAAAAGAACATGGGTAAATGTGATTCCGAAAAAGAACATGGCCTTAGAAAAGAATTTGGCCTTGAAATAATTAGGCCAACAACTAGCTTAAGATAGGACCCGCCAGAGGGCTTTAAGTCTATAGAGTTTACACAGATCCTCTAGACTTCTTAGACAAAGGTCTCCTTTTAAAGATTTGTAGGCATTATGCCAAGATACCTAGTACTAGTAGTGTTTGCTTTCCTCCTCATAACCCGTCCAAAGAAAATGACTAATTTTCTTCTCAAGGGTTCTCATAATACTTTTGGGAATGCCAAAATCCATAAGTAGATATGTAGAGGCATAAAATAAAGGGCATGCTTTAGTAGAATAATTAGAGCTCCAGCTGAGAGAAAAATTTCCTTTCGAGATTCAAATTTAAAATAATTTTTCTTAAGGCTGCGTTTGGGAACGATGCAAATGGAGTGTCAATCCCGGTTCAGGGTAAATTTGCACTCTAGTTCATTTTTGCATGTGTTTGGCAATATTATATTTATGCATTGACAAATGATAGATCAATGCATATTTACATTGATAATAAGATGTAAAAGTACATCAATAAAAATGAAGTAAATTTGCATTCAAGTGGGTTTTTGATAAAAAAAAACATATGCTTTATTGTAATTCATGTTTGCATCCATTACAGTTAAAAGTTTGTTTCGTAAGAAGGCAAATTTGTCAGTGCAAGACTAACCCAACTTTACATGAACCATTTTATACTCTACATATTTGCATTCACACTTATTCGTATTGTTTCCAAACACAGCCTAACAAATCATCAAACATATAATGTCTTGCATTGCCTTTATGAATTAGAACACCCAAATATCTACAAGGAAGTGATTGTTTGCTAAAAACCAAAGCCATCCAAATCATTTTACATCAAGTATTAGACACCTTGGATGAGGTATACAAGTAACTTTTGAATTTATTTATTCTTTGACCAGACCTAGCTTCATAACCACCACATTCAATTCACTCTATTTAAGTCTTGTTTTTTTTTAATAAAATGAAAAAAAAAATATTACAAAATGAATAATCTAGCCAAGCAATAGGGGTGCAAATGGATCATATCATGATCCAATCCAATATATATATATATATATATATATATATATATATATATATATATATATATATATATATGTGTGTGTGTGTGTGTGTGTGTGTGTGTGTGTTGTTTATCTATTTATAAATATATTATTTATATTGCATTTTTTTGTAAATTTATTGTATTGTTTTTATATAAAATGTATATATATGGTGAAAATAGTTAAAAAGGTACTTGTATTTTTTGTTTTTCTTTATTTAAATTGTTATATTTTAATTTTAATTAAATTGGAACGGATCATATACAAATATATAACTTCCTCATTGGATTCATATTCAAATCCATATTTATGAGATGCAATCAGATCTGCTATTAATAGTATTCGGTCATATTTGAATATACCTTGATTCAAATTCGATAAAATCCGTTTGTATCCATACCAAGTAGGTAGGCTTGTCAATGATATCTAAAACTTCACAACTCAATCCAATTATCACATATTTGGATGAGATATTTATATAATCATATTTGGATTTTGCAATCTAAATCCGATTAATAATAATAAATATAAATTATATAAACAAAAAAAAAACATACAAGTTTATAAAAAAATTGGATATATTATTACTATCATTATCATCATTTATAATTGACACATGCAAAGCATGTGCATGCTTACTAGTATGTATATATATAATGTATAATATATTAAATAAATTATATATATAGAGAGAGAGAGAGACTATGCATATAATATTTAATATATATTATACATAAATATTTATTTTTTATTTATTATAATCAGGTCTATTGGGTGAAACCCGATTGTCCCGAGAACCGATCAATTTGGTTCCGGGTCCAAAAAAATTACAGACCCTATCGGGTTTGGGTCCTCAACATTTCATATTGGGTCGGTTCTGGTTCTGACCCATACCCGACCCTTGACAGCCCTAGTCATAGCTTAGAGTAATCAGTGTCCCTCGTGATCATACCTTATTGTGCTTGAAGAGAAAACTAGATCTTACCTTACTTCATCCTTTGAGATCAATCCTCGCTTTTTTTTGCCTTGTGAATATATGTTGGTTTTTCAATGTATTTTAGTGTATAAATTTATATATAAAAAAAAAAGTGTTTTAGTGTAGAAGATTTAATAGCTTGTGAGTTATGGCTTTTTGAAATGTTTAAGTTGTGTATTAAAAAGTATGATTGAGGCATTGGGCCTTTGGAATTTTTATTGACTAAAATACCCCTAATTTTGAATTTGGGCATTCTTTACTAATATGATCAAATTAAAAAAATGTAATTTTTATACTACTATTTTGTTCATTCAATTCCCTTCCATTAAGTCCCATGTATAAGGTACATTAATTAAAGTTGTAAATAATGATTTTAATAGTATGATAACCTATATTTTTAAATCAACCCATAAACGAAACCACTTTTCATCTAGGTAGTAGGTAAGTAGTTCAACCATTTCAGTCAAATGAGTAAACCCATGATACTAAAATTAAACAACAAAAATTTAAAAATACAAATATATTAAAATATAAAAAATAAAGATAATCTGTAAAAAATTTAGGGTAGTCTATATTGTTATATATTTGTCATATATTGAACATAAGTATGATGTTATTCTTCTAGATTAAATAGAAATATACTAAAAGGACAAAAAAATAAGTATATACAATAGAAACACCCAAATAGAGCAAACAAAAACCCAAGCCATACGATGACAACCAAAAAAAAAATAAGTATGATAATATAAAATTTAAAATGACATGAGATGAAAACCATTTTTTGTGTCTATGTGGTGGGTCAACAATTTAACCATTAACTCTTTAAAAATAAAAAATACAAAAGAAAATATACAGAACAATTTTGGGCACATCCCTAATATTATATATTAATTACATTAAACAAAAAGAAGTATGATAAACAGTATTTGCTTTTATTAACGGTGAAAATGAAATACAAAATTCAATTGTCATAGTCAAATGGGTCAGCCAATAATGTAATAATTACACAATAAAAATACACAAAGTTTTAGAAGATATATAAAAATGTAGAAAATTTTGGCATATCTTTGATATTATATTCTCAATGTATTGAAAAAAAATGTAATAAGTAAGAATCAGTTTTATCAATGCTGGAAATGAAATACAAAAATTAGGAAAAAAATATAATTGAAGTATAATTCATGATCCCATTAATCGGGTCAAGGTCATTAACCATTGGATAAGCCCAATGTTCTAAAGATCAATTGCAATTGCATTTCCCTCACAAATAAATAAGTTAACTTGTGATATCATAAAATAATTAATGAAGCATAAAATATAAAAAAGTATAAACTTGTAGAAAATTTAATCATGTATTAAATATTATATATTCTTCATATCTATGGTGCCAAAACAGTATGAAACTAGAGTTGTGACCACCATCCCCAGTAAATTTTGATGGATACCACATGATTGGTGGCATACAAGTAAACCAATGAGTAACTCCAATAAGGGAAAATGAGATAAAGTAGATTACTGAAATTGTTTGGTCATGTGCATAGAAAACTATATATAACATTTTTTCGGGAAAAAAAAAACAATTTAATGTTGAAGGGGATAAAATTTGAAGATGGATATGGTACTAAATAGAATTGAATGCTGAAAGATGATTCATGTAGTCAATACCATATAATTGGGAAAATGATAAACATTGACCATGTGATTGGTTGTCACTTCTATGGTACCAGCTGAACTATGCTTTGATTACTTATCATTGTGCACACTTACTAGTAATAATTGAAGTGTTGAATTGAATGTCTTTTCTTTTTGTCTGTTAAAATAATTATCAAAACTTCCAATAAGATGGCAGCCAGCCCAACTTTCAAGTTCAACTTCAGCTATTGGAGGAGTTAATAACACTACTTATTTACCAAGGTCAATTAGAAAATGAATGAGAGTGATAGAGGAAACAATTATAGAGGGGTTACGCATGGATTTGGTGAGTGAGTTGTTCATTTCTTAGAATCACATGGGTCATTCAACTATTTCACAAGTATAAAAAAATACAAATGGTATACGAAAATACATACATAGAATTTGTAGAGAATTTTTTTGATGCATCTATCTAATATCATATATTTATCATACTAAAAAATGCAGGTATTATAAATAAAAATATCTTTCTACCAATGAAAGGAATAACTTAAAATAATAAAAAAATAATAATATTTCATGTGAAAAGTGAACTTCAGGCATGTACATACGAAACATGCATTGGCTAGGGGTGATTATGAGCCGGGCCAGGCTGGGCTTGACACTTATGCCAGGGGATCTAGTCCAGGCTTGAGTCCTAGTTTCAACTTTCAGGCCTATGATTTCAAATATATTATAAGAATAAAAATATAAAATAATATATTTTATTTTTTATCATCATCATCCAAGCTTTACCCCAACTATAAACTATATTTTGTTTTGTTATAATACCCATTTTAAATGCCTTCACTCAAGGTCAAATGTTAGATTTAAAAGTTTAAAATTATGAATATATATATATATATATAATTAGATTTTTAAAATAATCGTACTTCTTTACCAGACCCAAAAATTTCCAGTCTGATGTGGGACCACTACGGCTCAGTCAAATCTGAACACAAAGCCATAGCCCTGGCCTGAAAGTTTTGGGGTGGGATGAAAATGATTACAAACAGTGTACAAAAAGTCTTACAGCTGGTCCCAAACCCAAATAAAGGGTAAGGGTTACGTCAAAGTGGTAACCAATACCAATATTTGTTTTTTCCAATTTTTTCATGTTTGAACAGCAGAATGGAGAGACATAATTCATGTAGCCAACTCCATATAGGGACAAGGCTTATGTGACGAGAATGCTGAATTATATGAATGAATTTGTCATCATGTCCTAATTCGTTTTATTGGGGGTAAATCTCTAAAAGTATTCCTGAATTTTTTAACAATTGGCTAGATCCTTCCTGATGTTAATGTCCATTAGTGTTCCATCATAAGGGAAATGAATGAAGCCTTGGGGTGTGTCAATTGATCTATGAACTATTTGGGGATGCCCTTAGGTGATAATCCGAATAAAGAAAGTTTTTGGAACCCTATAATTGATATATTTCAGAAGAAGTTAGCCGCTTTGAAGAATAACTATTTATCTCTAGGTGGCAAAATCACATTGATTAAATCTACATTGACAAGTTTGCATGTGTATTACTTGTGAGCTTTTAGAGTCCCACTAAAAATAATTAGAGTATTGGAAAAGTTGTCGAGAAACTTCTTGTGAGAATCAGGGGATGAAAAGAATAATTATATGGTAAATTGGGATTTGGTCTCTAAAAGTAGGGCTGATGGAGGGTTAGGACTAAGTAATATTCGGAAGAAAAATGAGGCTTTGTTGGAGAAATGGTTGTGGAGGTTGGAAGGTGAGAGGGGGAAGCCGTGGATTAGAGTTATATTCGGTATTTATGGTCAAATAGAGGATGAATTGGATACAGGATCTTTGGCAAGGCCAATTGGAGATTCTCCTTGTAAATCTATTCATGACATTCTATATTCCTTTATACAATACATCAAGTATGGTCTTTGTTTTGGAAATCAGGTATAATTTTGGGAGCATATATGGGCCAGGTGATTTACCTTTGAAATACCAATTTCCTTATTCTTTTATCACTTTCCCGACATAAGGGAAAGTTTGTGTCTAGTTTTCTAGTTCCTTCTCAGTCCAACATTGGGTTTGATTGGGATATGGGGTTTAGGGGCTGCCTAAGGGATTGGGGAACTGAAAATGTAATGAATCTGATTCAAATACTAAATGGGGTGGTGTTGGATCCTTCTAAGAGGGATAGGAGACTGAGGACTCTAACTCCTTATGGGACATTCTTTTATGCTTACTTCTTTAATCCCCTTTTGCATTCTACCATTAATTTTGCACCAAAATTTCCATATAAGGAAGTTTGGGGTGAGCCGATTCCTTCAAGGGTTGGAATTTTTTGTTGGGAAGTCTTATTGGAAAGATATAATACATGTGATTTACTCCAAAGGAAAATGCCTTGTTGATGCTTATCTCCTTGTTGGTGTATTCTTTGTAAAGCTAATGGTGAAAACTCCTACCACTTATTAATTTCTTACCCTTTTGCTTTTGTTTATTTGGGATTGGTTTCTTTATCTTCTTGGTTACAAGTGGACCCCCTCGATCAAACATCAAAAGCTTGTTTATGTTTAGCTCATCATTCCTTATACGGCCAAAGAGAATGAGAAGGATTATGTGGAAATGCGTGCGGGCTGCTACTTGCAGGACTCTATAGGACGAAAGGAATTCCATTTTTTTTTTCTATATAAAAAGGAACGAAGTAAATAAGGTATTATTGAGGCCATAAGAGTTAGGGTGGTGCATTGGATAAAATTTGTACAACTATTTGATGATGTTTTTACGATTATATTGCTGAACAACTAGATGGAAGTGGCTAACTCTGCATCAGCTTGGTTTTCCACTGCTCATGTGTGGTTACCTCCTAGCAATGGATTTATAAAGCTAAATTTTGATGTAACAGTGAAAGTTAACTCAAGCCCTTTAGGTGTAGGGGTGTCTTCAATGACGAGGAGGGAAAGGTGATAGAAATGTATTTGTGCTCTATTGGGGTTGGGGACTCTTTTAGAGCTGAGAATCTGAGATATAACTGTTTCTGGATAATATTAGAAAGAATAAGGAACTGAATATACAAAAGTTAATTATTGAAGGGAACTCAATGGTGGTGTTAAGCCAGTTACAAAGGGGAAGCGGTTTTTGGAAGTTTGTTAATAAAATAATGGAAATCAAACGGCTAATTAGGGGGATGGACTAAATGGTGTGTTTGCAGGTGCTTTGACAAATCAGGGGTGGGAAATTGATTGATTGTACTAGGCTGTATTATGAAATTTTATTTTGCTCTCTTGTGGATAGTTAGGTATTTTTAACTATCTCGGGGTTGCTTTACCCAATTCTTATGAATTTAATGAAATTCCGCTATATATATATAATAACCAAAAAAATACTTAAATTTTTATTTTTCTTTTTAAAAATTTATTAATTTTTTATATAATTCAGATTGGAACAAAGCAAATTTGGATACCCAAGATCCTTGACATATTCATTTTCAAATCACCGTTTGTGATATCCGATCATATATTCAAACCAGATTGGATCTTTGATACGTGTTAGTGGATCGTGTTCTGTTATACCCTGATTTGAATCCGATCCAATCCATTTGCATCCCTAAATAGAACGAGGACACATCTACGAGGATTCTCTTCTCTCTTATCATTCTACATTCCTTGCAAAGAACACCATACTACAAAATCTTAATTTCAAATTTTCATTTTGACGATTGACAATTTAAATGAGTGTGATGGGCAAGATAATACTTTCCATATTTCTTTTTAACACATACTAATAACATAGGAGGATTTAATTAATTATCTAAAATATCAGGGATATTTCAATGCATTTTTTTTATAATAAAAATAGGGGGGGGGGGGAGCAATATTAAAGTGAAGGTTGGCTAGCAATTCATTGTGGACGATTCCACATTGGTGTCTCAATTATGTAATATATAAAACTAGTTTAAAGGGCACATGCTATGTGTATTAGCAAAAATATAAGCTTACATTATATAAATCAAATTTGACCTTTATGACATACATGCAAATCATGGCAAGTATCAATTTAATATGTCATTGCAATAGTTTGGATTTAACTTTTATGACCCATATAAAATCCAAGGTAAGTATCTATTTTATATAAATTATAATTCGTCACTTTATATTTTGGACTAGTGACACCTAGCCTTACAAATTTCACATGCAATAGAATAAGTCAACCTTTAGCACTCTATCAATTAACTTTAAAAAAATTCTCATGTGACTGTCAGACATCTTTTTAATACTTGTAAAGCCCTATATTGTCCTTATATAATTTTATGAATATATTTTATAGACATTGATAAAATGCAAAAAATAGGGAAGTAAAAGAAAATTAGAATTTGTAAAAAATATAGAAAATACAACAATACACATCAAATAGAAAAATACAATAGACTAATATAAGAAAATACAAAAAAAATGCAAGATATATCATGCTTTATCAATTAACATACATATTTTTGTTATTTTGGTATTTCAGGTGGATCTTTGTTGCAAATGGAAGTTAGTATGGACTATGGAGGGAGGTAAGTGTTACTGTCCCCAAAGTAAAAGGAGAAAATATGTCACTTAATAAACTTCCAAATGGAGGGCGCGTCATGCGTATACGGCGCATTTTAGTGCCCCCCGATAAACGAAGAAGGCAAGAATCTGAGAAAGGGCAAAAAAAAAAAAAAAAAAAAAATCGGGCCCTCCGATAAATTTTTATGTTTGTGCACTCCACAATTGAATTTTATTGTCCAACCGAGTTGGGAGAAAAGAAGCGACGGAAGGAGGTTGAGGAATCAGTAGACGTCCTTCTATTTGGTATTCACAGTCCCCGCGCTTCGCAAAATTGTTGAATAAAAGCAAAAAAATAATTGTGTTCAAAACCCTAAGAGTACTGGGGAAAACCTACATAGTGTTCTTTGGCTTCTGAGGAATTATATGTGATAGCGCATACATGGCCGGAGCTTCCCGAGAGCAAGCGCTCTCTCTTCTCGGTGCCGCGAAGAACCACGGTGATTTGGCAGTAAAACTCTCATCTTTGAAACAGGCGAAAGAGATTTTGTTATTCGGCGAACCGTCATTTGCAGCAGAATTCTTCCCATACCTCGTTGAGCTTCAGACATCGCCCGAAAGCTTGGTTAGAAAATGCCTCCTCGAGTAAGTTCGGTGTTCTAAGCTACGTCCTTTTCTTCACTCTTGTAGTTCTCTTAGTGTTTGCCATAAATTTGCAACTTCCACCATCATCTTCATCATCACTATCACCTCTTCTCGCTTATCTGCTTCTCTCCCTCTCTCCGTCTATCTGTACACCTCTATGATTGAACTGTATAGGTTGCATTATATGTTTTTATCTTTCAATAAGACATTACATGTTCGTCGAGTTACGCATAATGAGAGAAAAAAAAGAGGAAAAAATGGTTCAAGCAGGCGTCTTTGTGGTATATCCCACAATGGCTGCGAGGACTATTACAATAACAGGTGAAGGCGCGTTTAAAGGTCCTATATGAATATCGAAAACAATTTAAGGGCAAATACGAGGTGTTCTGGTAGTTGATTGATCCTATTGCAAGATGACTGTAGGGCATGGGCGGGGGCTAGGGCTAAACACATTGAGTGGCTTGGTGAGCATCAGCTTGCTGTTTTTTTTTAATTGTACTAGCCCTCCACTCGATACATGACATTCTAGGTGGTTCTTTTGTGGAAATCAAAGCATTGTGCACATTGGTGGATCACTTAATAATACCTAATGCTCAGGGAAAGGCCTTATTTGAGAAATAAATGAGGTAAAGATAGAGGAGGGAATGAGGGAGTGAGAGGGGGGATGGTATGGATAGTAAATAGGTAGGGAGAGATGAAAGATGCATAGGGATATAATAAGGTCTTGATTTCAATATGCAAGGTGCCAACCAGCGGGTTGGTAAGGGGATTTGTGTGGCTGAGGGGCATTCAGGGTGTGTGAGAGAGAGATATATTTTAAAGAAGGGGAGGAGGGTGTATATTGTAGGAGAGGAGGGAAGGGTGTCTGAAGGGGATAATGGGGAAATGGAAAATTCTACTCAGGAGATGGGTGTTCAAATTGTTGATTGAGAGGAGGGGGAGAAGAAGGTTAAATCTAGGAAAAGGTTGGAGGCTGAAATCCTTATGTCTTCAAGAATCAAGGTGGAAAAGACCTTGTAAAGAAGAGGGAAATTGGTGGACAAGAAGTTTGGGGGATAGGGAGTAGGGACTGTTGGAGATTCAATGAAGTGAAGAATTGTGAAGGACCTTCTGAGGAGAATTAAGCCATCAATGGTGTTGGCACATGAAACAAAATTGGAACTGGTTAATGATGTGTGGTTGAGGAGTATTTGGGGTTCCAGGAATAACAAATGTTTTTTTTAAACCATTGGTGGGTGCCTTGGGCGGTATTTTAGTTGCTTGGGAGGACAATCAAGTGGAGTGTGTGGATGAGCTATTAGGAAACTTGACAGTTACAGCAAGGTTCAAAAACAAAGAAGAATGGTTTTGAGTGGCGGTTAACTAATGTCTACGCCTCTACGGACCCACTTCATGCCGACATAGGGAGAATTTGTGGATGTAATTGTATGGTGTCAGCAGAATGTGTGAAGGGGCTTTGTGCTTAGCCGGTGTCTTTAATGTCACTCAGTTCTGTGTGGAAAAGAATGTGGGGCCTTCTAGAGTCGCAGGAAGCATGAGATTGTTGATGAGTGTGCTTAGAGATATCCAGTTGCAGAATTCACAATTAACTTTGTCTAACTTACAAGAAAATTCTGTCCATTGTAAACTGGATAGGTTTTTTGTTACAACAGAATGGGAAGAACATTTTGGTTCAATTGTGGAAGACCTTGATTAGCCAATCTCTGATCATTGGCTGTTATTGATGCAATTGGATGAGATGTCTTCTGGTCCTACACCATTCCAGTTCAAAGACATGTGGGTAAAACATTCTGAATTTAAGGAAATTATTGAGGACCGATGGAAGGAAGGTCATATAGGGGGTTGGGCTCGTTTCCAATATATGCAAAAATTAAATGATCAAAGGAAAATTGTTGAAGATTTGGAATGCCCAAGCTTTTGGAAGAGTTAGGATAAACAGGTGGAATCATTGAGGCAAAGGGATTAGAGAATGAAACTAAAGGCTGAATTTGTTGGAGGCAAAAATCCAGGTGTAAGTGGCTAACGGAGGGGGATGGGAACTGTAAGTGTTCCACTCTATAGCAAATAGGAGAAGAAAGAACAATAAAATCTCTAGGATTGTGGTGAATGGGGAGGAAACGCTGAATTAGGGTGGCATTGAATCCATTTTAACTTCACATTTCATGGCCTTGTGGCCCTTGTATGCACCTGAATGTCCAGTGAGGCCTGTGTTGGAAGGAATGGACTATGAAAGGGTTCTAGTGGATTTGATAGCAAAAGTTGAGGAACCTTTCTCATTCAATGAGATCAAGAGGGCAACGGTATTGGGAATGAGTGGTGATAAGGCCCCTAGGCCAGATGGTTAAAAAATGACATTTTACCATGAGTGTTGGGACAAGGCAAGATTTACAAAGAGTTTTTGATGAGTAACATGGGTTTCACTCGAGGGGGAAGGAGGGAAAAGGAATGAATGCTATCTTTGTGTCTTTGATACCTAAATGTGTGGGTGCCGTGTCTTCAAATGATTTTACCTATAAGCTTGAACAAAATTGTGGCTAAAGTTCTGTTGATTAGACTAAAGGAAGTACTCCATTTTGTGGTGCCAATGAACAAGGGGCCTTTTTTAATGGCAACCAAATTCTTGATCAAATTCTCATAGTAATGAGGCAGTGGAGGATCTTAGAAGATTAGGGAGAAAAGGTTTTGTGTTCAAATGGGATCTTGAGAAGGCTTATGATCATGTGGATTGGTGATATCTAGAATGGGTGATGGAGCAGATGGGTTTTGGGCAAGATGGATAAAAGGATTATGGGCCGTTTAAGGACAACCCACTTCTCAATTATCATTAATGAGTCACCAAAGAACTTTTTAAGCTTCTAGGGTGTATGGTAGGGAGACCCCTATCCCCACTGTTGTTTATGCTAGTAGCAGATGAGAGAGACAATTTTCCGGGTTTCTTGGAGTAGGGAGACAGGGATAGTCAAGTTGTTTCTCATTTGCAATTTGTGGATGACACTTTGATCCTGAGGGAATTTAGAGCGGCTCAATGTGAGGGCTCTTAAGTACATCTTAGAGGTTGTAGAGATGATAACTGGGCTGAAAGTGAATCTAGAAAAATGCAGCTTGGGAGATATCCAAACAGAGAGAAATGAATTGGAGTGTGCGGCTATTTTGCAGTGTGAAATTATTGGCTAATGAAACATTTTTGGCTTCCATTTGGGGTAGGGGTGTTCATGGGTCAGTTTGGTTTGGTTTGGTTCGGTTTCAGGCTGTTTGGCCAGGTTGGGAAATTGGCCACCTGAAACCGACCGGCCACAAGTGAAAACTGGCCCTACTGTAAAGAATCGGTTTGGGTGGTTTATCAGTTTGATTGGTTGGTTCAAACGACAGCCCATAAGTGATTTTCACTATGTTTTCAATAGATAAAAATCTTATATTGAATTGTTAATGTGAAGGAAGTAAGGTTTGCACAGGTAAAAATTAAACATTAAATGGTATTATGAAAACCATTTGCTGTATATGATTGTAGAAAGTGTTTTCCCTCTCTCTCTCTCTCTATATATATATATATAGTTGGGCCGGGTTGGTTTTGGTCTGTTAACACACGACCAAACCGAAACCGAACCAACATCTTGGGTTACCATAATGCATGAATTGGAACTGATAAAAATAGTTGAAAACCAGTCAACTTGGGTTGAGTTGGGTCGGTTTGATCGGTTTCATGAGCAACCCTTATTGGGGGGCAATTCTAGGATACAGCTTTTTGAGAGGCAATAATTGAGAGGTTTGTAAAAGGGTTAGCCGGTTAGCCTCTTGGAAAAGAAATTACGTCTCAAGGGGGGTCACTTTAATCAATTCTAATCTTTTTCTTGTTAGTGTTTAAGGCCCAGTGAAAGTTATACAGAGAATTGAGAAAAGAATTAGGTATTTCTTGTGGGACCGTGGGAGTAACAAAAGCAGTCATCTTTTAAAGTGGAAGGATGTTTGTAATTCAAAATAAGTGGGTTGGTTAGGGTTAGGTAGAATTTAGTAAAATAACAAGGCGTTTCTGGGAAATTAGCTTTGGAGATTCCCTAAAGAAAGATAGGCTTTTTGGTATTTGGTTAATAAAAAGCATTTATAGGTTATGCCATATTGGGTAGGACTTGGGCCCAACGAAGTGTTACTCTAGATGTCCTTGGAAAACAATTTTGATGTGGCTTCCTTCCTTCTTGCAGCATATTAGATATGATGTAATTTCTGGACAAAGGGTGAAATTTTGGGAGGACACTTGGTGGGAGAGTTCTCCTTTGTGCCTCTCCTTCCCTAGCATTTACAACTTATCCAATTGTAAGACCAAATCAGTTGCTGATTTGGTAACCTGTGATGGGAATGGGTTGGTTTGGGACTTGGGGCCGAGAAGACCTTTGAGAGACCATGAGACTGATGAGGTGATCCATCTGGTTAGCATTCTCAAAGGTGTCAACCTGCTTGGCTGCTTCCTTCAGGTAATGGTGAGAGGGTGTGGAGCGCTAACTGTCCTTGGCAATTTCACCTGTGCTTCTTTCTTTAGAACCTTTTATACACCAAATCAGAACTCTCCCTTTCCAGTCAAGGAATTCTGGTTTATAGCCCCATTTACCCTAAAGTCAAGATGTTTTGTCGGAAGGCTGCCGATCAAATCATCAATACCTATGAAAGACTCCAAAGGAAGTGGAGAAATTGGGCTGTCTCTCACCACATGTTTTTGTCCTATGCTTGAAGAGTTGGGAATCTACCAACCACCTCCTGTTGCATTGTTCCTACACCTCACAGGTGTGGCAATATTTTTTCCCTTTGGTAGGAAGACCTTGGGTAGCTGCTACTGAGGTTGTGGACTTGTTCAAGTCAGATGTGGTGAGTTGCTCTACCCAGAGGCAGGACATTATGTGGCAATTGTGTTCATGGTGCAATTTATGGGGGCTGTGGAGTGAAGAGAATGCTAGAATCTTTAAAGAAAGACACAAGCAGGAAAGGGAACTGATTGAACTTATAATGAGAAGAGCTGCATGTTGGGCTTTAATTTGTAAAGAGTTCAAAGGGGTTAATTTGAACGACTTGTTGAGGGATTGGCAGATTGTGGCAGATTTCCAAAGTAAAAAGCCTAAAAAAATAGTGGGTTGGTGTCCACCAGTAGATGCAGGGTTTAAACTAAATTTTGGTGGTTGTTGTTTGGTAATCCAGGGGACTCTGGAGTGAGAGGAGTGGTTTGGGTGTGCAATGGTTGCATGATACTAAGCTACTCGTGTCTGGTTATTCATGGGAACTCATTGAGGGCTGAACTGTTGGCCCTAATTCAAGGTTTAAAATTAATGGTGCTGCAAGAATTAAGGAATGTGGAGGCTGAGGGTGATTGCCAAACTGTTCTCTGCTGGATGAGGAATAGGATCAGATCCCTTGGCATTTTAAGCCTTTGGTGAGATTGTTTCACTCATAGGCACCACCCACCAACTTGAACATCTCATTCAACTGGGATACTAGAAGTGTTAACACACTGACTGACTCTTTGGCAAGAGCAGGGGTGGGGAGGGATGCACTTGATTGGGGTGCCCAGGGCTTGTCTGTAATCTATAATTTTATTGTTTTCTTCCTGAAGCTTTGTTGAAGGAAGCTACTTTGTACCTTTTGGCCTGCTGCTCTTATTGAGCAGGAAGGTGTTTCTTTCTCATTTAACGAATACATTTTATTTATCAAATAATGTAACATATATCATCAGGTGATAGATTGTTCACTCTTCAAACACGATGTCACACATCAGAAGGGAGAACTTTAACATATTCTTTCCTCCCTTAAGGCATGCCACTTTGACATGGGGGCATTAAGAATTCTACATAATGCTGATCGAGTTTCAATCTTTGAGCGTGCATCTCCCAGAAGAATAACCAGGCAAGCTTTGTGTAATTCCCTGGAGGCTGGACAACATGGAAATATGCCATAGATATTGCTGACTTCCCTTGCATATCTTTAGCATTTTTGGAGTACTGTAATCTTACATTTCTTTTTTTTTTGTAAAATTATCAAATGCTGCTAATGTTCATAATTGCTCAAAACTCATATTAAGTATTTATTATTAGTTTTATGACATTTTTTCAATCAGTTACTTGATGATACATTTCATACTTTCTTCTACCATTTTGAATTGTTTTCAGGCTGATCGAAGAGCTTGGTTTGAAGGTGATGGAGCGTTCATCTGTAATGATGCCAATGCTATTGTCACTTTTAAAAGATGATGCATCTTCTGTTGCAAGACAATCTATTATTAGTGGTACAAATTTCTTTTGCAGCATCCTGGAAGAGATGACACTACAGGTCCTTCTCATAGAATAAAGTATTCTTGTTATTTGGAATTTAGGCTTTATCTTTTATTTATTTGTTCATTCCTGTGACAGTAACCTTTTTTTGGTATTCTTTCTGTGACAATAACCAATAACTAGATTTCTGCCCTAAAGATTATATTTATGATTATAACATAAACATTCATCATTTTCCAATATTTCTTCATTTATTTATTTATCTATTATTTTTTTAACTTTAACTTTATCTTTTAACCATTTAATTTATTGTAAAAAGGAAGAAACTTTCTTTGTGGTGATATTTGTGATTAAATTATGCATGCCAATTAGTCTTGGACATTCTTCTTTTTGATAGGTAATGGTCAGAATTTATTGATGTTTGTGTTATTCAATGGTCTATTTTCCAACCAATATAAAAATGGTATATAAGGTGCCAAGTACCCCCTGTTCTCTACCCTCCTTTTATCTCTTCAGATGTTAAGTCAGATGCAGGTTTGCTGAGTTCATCACGAGTCTGATTTGTGGACATTTGTTGATCCTTTGCCTAACTAAATTGTCTGTATGACATTGCCTGCCCGTCTTCTTCCTATGAGTAATTTCCTATGGGAAGTTGGAAATTCTAAGAAGGACCATTTAATCAATTTAGATTGTGTTTGCAAGAAAGAAAGAGGATGATGACTTGGGTATGGGGAGTGTTAGGGAGAAGAACACCTCTTTAGCTTTGCAAAATGCTGTGGTGTTTCCTTGTGGAAGATCTAACTTTATGGCATCCCATTACCAAAAGCAAACACAACATGAATAAGAATGCCTGGGACTTGCGACCTGCCTATGGAGTAACTCTTTGAGTCTTTCTTTGCCCATGGGAAGCAATCATTTCTTTTTTCCCCTTTTTGTTAGGTGTATTAGGTATATGCCATCACTAGCACTTCTTTAATGCTTATGTGCCAGTTCTGGTTGTTGTTTGGCTCCGGTCTCTCATCTCTAAGGACACCAGAGAGAAGGTGTTGTATTTCATATTGTTTTATAATTGATAAAGTACAAGTTATGTTACTTATAAAAAACAGGGTAAATTACAAACTGCCACCCTGTACTTAGGGGGCGGTGACACATAGCCCCTTGAACTTTGTTTTGCAACAAAGATTCCCTTTAATTTCTGGATTTCAGCACTTTGCCCCACTCCATTAACAGGGTTGACAGTGAAGGTAAAATAACTTAATTTCCCATTTGAGATTTGATGGGCTGAGAGGAAAAGCTATTGGATGACAGAAATGGGTGTGCTAGGCACAATATCTCTTTTGGATTGGGTTACTGTGTTTCTAAGCCTCTGTTTGGGAGTGTTTATTTTTAATCTTATTTTGGGCTGGTACCACACCAATAAGCACTTATGTGCATTTGGGATATAAGCCCCAATAAATGCTTATGAAATAGGCCCGTTTTGAATAAGCACCCAAGGGTGCTTATTTTTAAGCATTTATTGAGAAAGCACTTATTGCTTTCTGATATGTCTTGGCCCACCACGTAATTTTTGAAATACCTATACTACCCGTGTTTGAAAGAAGCAATTTTTCACCAAACACTGGTAAGTGCTTATTTGAATAAGCACTTATTTTAACAATAAGCATTCCCAAACGAGGCCTAAACCCTTGCTAAAGAAGAAACAAAGTTCACTGTCAAGGTTTTGGAAGCATAGTACCTAGCCCATAAGAGATAGTGTGAGTTAATCCCCATTTTTATCATTTTAATAACTTTTTCTCTCAGCCCATCAAATCTCGAATGGGCAATTTTGCAATTTTACCTTCATTGTCAACCCCATTAGCAGATTAGCTGGGTAGGGGGCAAAGTGCTGATAGTGTCTCTTACTCCCCTCTGAGTTTATCTCAGGATCTTGGGTTTAGAATGGGTTTTGAGAATTGAGAGACCAAGAAACTTATGATCTAATCTCCCATTTAGAGTTTTGTTTGATTGGTATGTTTGAACCTTAAATTCAGTGGGTGCTTTTTCATCCTCCTCCTTTGTTACAAATCTTGATGAGTCCATTCCCTCTCTCTTTCCTTTTTTGGTTAAGGCACTTTGGGATGGTCCTATGCCTCCAAAGATTAAAACTTTTTGATGGAGGCCATTTTGATGATATTCAATGTAGGTGAATGCTCCAGTAAAGAGAAAAAACTTGGAAGATCTACCCTGATATGTGTGCCCCATGCCTAATAAGCAGTGAGAATGTTGACCATATATTCCTCTCTCGTCTTTGCATAACAAACTGGTTTTCTCCTCTATTTGGAGCTTACTGGGTTTCACTTGTAGTTCTCAGAGACTTATTTAAAAGCTCTATTTTGTCTTTGAGGACAATAAGAGGAAAATCGATGTGGAATTGCAATTAGGCAGGTTTTTGGTGTTAGAAGAATGGTAGTATCTTTAACAACAACAGCAGCAGATAAAGCATTATAGATGTAATGCCAGTGAAAGGGGCATGATTATCTCATCAGTTTGGGTTACAGAGCAGCCAATGTTTTGGCAGATGCCTTGGCAAAACAAGGGGCAGAAAGGGAGAACCTATTTTGGGGTGTAGGAGCAATACTTAACGTACCAAGAACTCAACAAAGATTATCAGAGAGGAATTTACAGGTGTCTTTGTGGGTTCTATGCTAAGGAGTGGCAGTTGGTTCTCAATTGATGGTCAAGTGCCTACAAATTAAAGGGAATGGCTTATGGATGCACCAAAATGAATTAAAGAAGATTATGGTTAACTAGAGATATGAATTTGAGAGTTCAATGGGTCCAAAGGATGGCTAATAGCATGGATGATTACTCGGCAATACAAGGGATTGGAAGAAATCAAATGTTTTTGTAATTTTTTTTGGTTTTGGAGATAAGTTGCTTTTATCTCTAACTGTATTCTAGTTATCTCATCTTTGATTAGTGAAAGTTACTGTTATTGATAAAACAAAGTGGCAGGTGGTTGCTGGGTTTACAGCAAACAAGACAAATTGCACAGGTTTGGGTGGTTCCTAAAACTGCAGTTGTCAAGTCCAATTTTGATGGATGTGCTTTGGGTAATTCTGGTCCATTAAGGATTGATGGGGTATTTAACGTCCATGTTTTATTTATTTTTCTTGAGGTTTTTTGGCCAGTTGGGGAGGACAATTTGTTAAGGGCTGCATTGTTGGCACATCTCTAAAGATTAATAGCTTTGATTGGTGCATGGCTCAATTTTTGTAAAGGGGCATGCCCTTAGTGAATAGGTGAAAGATGATGTATTGAAAAGACAGGTACCCCTATGCACCTCTGTACTGTAATAATGATACTTTTTTGTCTTTTCACAAGGGATGTGCCCTAATCAGTTCTTGGAGTCAAAACAAAAAACATACTCTTATGATTTGACTGGTTTTCTGGTTGAAGATGACTGTCATGTGGTGATAAATTGGATGTTCTTGGCAGTGGATGGACCTTAGACTCTTAAATTCCTCACAAGGGAACCTAGAGAATTAGCTGCTTACTTTAATAATTAATGCCTTAGCTAATTCACTTGCACGGGAAGTGGTTGTAAACTTAGATTTTTGCTGGGGCATGGGGACTGGGGTTGATTAAATCCATCCTGTAGAAGATGAACTTCAGTTTCTTTCTACTGGGGCATGAAGGTGACTATTAAATGCAGATTATACTCATAAAAATATGCAGATTATACAGACATCTTAAACTCAGTTACTGTTTATCTTTTTGATCTTTCTTGTCCAAGATTTCTGTACTCATTAGTTTGACAGTTTTATTATCATTTTGTTGGCAATTTATCACACTTTTCTCTTTATGCCCTTCTTTAGGATGGTCCCCGGTTTTGAAGGGCCTTTAGTATGGAAGAGGAAGGGTCCGGAGCAAAAAGGAATTTTGAAGGGCCTTTGGAAAAAAACAGACTACTTATTTGGTCTTGGAGGGAGCAAGCTCGAATATCAAAAGAACATCAAAAATCAAATTCTCTCTGACAGGTATAATTTGGGAAGGCTGGGCATTAAAGTAGGTGAAGAGCTCGGTCGGGTTATAGGGGTGTTTGCTCTGAACCTGATGGACTGCTGAGGGACTTTAGTAACTCGTCGGATTGTCCTGACGAGTTAGCCTCTAAAAAGGATACTTGAGAGTCTTATATCAAATCTGATAACCCTCGGTTGGAAGCAAATCAGGGATCCCATCCAAAAGGTTCTTCTGTCTCTTTAGGTAGGTCGAGAGGTGACGAAGCTGTTGATACGACCTTGGTGTGGGGCAAGAAGGAAAATTGTTTCAAGGACGGTAAGAGGAGACTCTTAGGGCCTTTAAAACCTTTGCTGAAGAGAAACGGAGCAACAAAGAGATTTGTGGTGGAGGCTAGAGAAGAAAAGGAAAAGAGGTGGGTTTGGCTAATAGCCAGATTTGACAAAAGCGGTAAGAAGAGGATCATAAGTGGTCCTAGTAAGCTTCTCGACGACGTTCTGCCTTCTGTGATCAACACTGCTGACCTCCTCTCTCTGGTCAGTAAGGAGTCTGATGGAAAACATGTATCCCCAGAGTTCAGAGGAACAACTTGCGTCTCTGGAAGCCCAGTTTTGCTGCTTCCAGAGGTTGTGGCCCCTGCTGAGTCAGTGAGGTTGGAAGGGGAGGAGGAAAAGGATTGGGAAAGGAGTGCTGGTAATGGGGTTGGATTGGGAGTTGAGGGCGAGGCAGAGGGTAAAGAAATCCCCTGTGATGATGAACTCACTGGAGGGCAGGTTGAAGAAGGTCAGCATTATGAGAAGGTTGAAGCCAAAAGGTTGGGTGTTACTTTGGGTCGAAAAAGTAACCTTGAAGAGAAGGAAGAGGATCGGGCTAATGGGTTAATTAACAAGAAAATGCACAACTCAAGATCTCACAATATTGTTCATGTGACTAAAATATTTTCAAGGCTAAAGCTTGGTGTGGCAGGTGCATGACCTACAAAATATTTCAAATGGGTGTGCAGAAGAAAAAGATGGAGAGGTAACAAGTTGACTGTCCCTGATCATAGGGGGGTGACTATGCCTGCTCAGCCTCCGTCTTCCACTATGTTGAACAGTTGAAGGATCATCAGGAAGGCAAGAGGAGCAACAGCTCTGATTCTACTGTGGTCCGGCCGCAGCAGAATTCTGATGCACTTGAAGAAGATTCCAGAGGCATGACATTACAGAATATAGTTGATAGAGAAGTCACGACTGGGAAAAGTTTGGGCCTGTTTTTATGGGGAGGTGAGGATTTTGCTAGGAAAGCTTTCGAGGAATTTGAAAGAAGAAGAAAGGAAGAGAAAGAGAAAAACAAAGATATCTCACAACGAAAAGGGGCATGGGACGAGGATTTTTCAACCCAAGAGGACATGCTCACAGATGAAGATTGATGCGGGTTCAGGAAAGGGAGATTTGTTTAGTGTTGGGTTTGTGACTCTTGTTTTTGGGGTTGTTGGAGTGTGCGTTTTCATTTTTCTTTTGGGTGTTTGGTCATGTTTCATTGATGTAAGTTGTGTTTGTATTGGGTCTTATTGGGCCTCTTGAGTGGGTTTTCAAGCTGTTTGGTGATTTCTTATCACCTTCTGCTGTACTTCTTTCTATTTTTAATGAATTTTCTTTTTACCCTTAACAAAGGATGGCCCCTGGTTTCTCTCTGAAATTGACTTTTAAAAACAAGGATAAGAAAACCTGGGGCTTTTTGAAGTTCTTTTGGACCTCATGTTATGTTGAGTTGGAGCCATTTTCAAGTATATCTGAAGTGGTACTTGTCATGGTTTCTCTATTATTTTATCCAGTTGTATTATGGTGTTGTGTGGCAAGCAAAGAAATTTGTGTTTACTCTATTGATTTTTTAGTCTAATATTTTCATAATACTGGTTCCCTTTGTTTGATGCAAATTATCTTTTGTATCTCATGGTAATAATGTACTGTGTTTTGAAAACTTATAGTTTCAGCAAACTGGTAAAGTTGAGAGGTGGCTTGAAGAACTTTGGATGTGGATGACTAAGTTTAAGGATGCTGTTTTTGGCATTGCCTTGGAGGTATATATTTGCTTTTCTGGTCCTTTTATAGAATAATCAATTGCCTTTGATTTTTCAATGATTATCCAAAATATTTGCCATGAAGAGCCATTGGTGCATTGCTCTATATTTGATGGGAAAATAGTTTTGTTGATAAAAGAAACCGGGATACGTTCATGCCTTCAACACTGACACTGATGGCTTACATACATGATGAAACTGTTACTTAGAATGAATTTCTGAGAGTAATGAGACTTAATAGCGATGAATGGCTTACATACAGTATGAAACTGACTGAGAAGAAGCCTATGGTTGGGGTTTTAGGATGAGAGTAATGAATGTCTTCGGCTGCCTGGGTGGGACTTTGGAGGTTTGTTTCTTATAATCCTAGTCCATATTAACCTGATATTTATTATAAAATTCAACATTCTACCATCTCCGATGTGATTTTTCAATCCTTGATTCCCTTGATTATTTAGAGCTCCTTTACTTTTTTACCTTTAAAATTATGGCACATGCAAGTTTGCTCATGTACAAGAAGATGCTATAACTATTGCATTGGTTTATTTACAATTCCCAGTAAGCAAAACAGGTATACCTAAGTATTCTGCAAAATTAGAGAATTCATATTGTTGGGAAATCTTATTGACTATACTTTTCTTGCATTTTGACCTTTTCTACAAAGATACTTGTGGATTATTGTGACATGATGTTTTATTTGACTGCAATAATTTGAAGGACTAGGCTAACATGGATGTTTTATTTGATATGATGCTGTAGCCTAGTTCTATTGGGACGAGGTTGCTGGCATTGAAATTTGTGGAAACATACATTTTTCTTTTTACACCTGATGGCAATGATTCCGAAACATCTTTCAAAGAAGGTATGGTGCTTCAATCATTTATTGTCTCTGGACATCGCACCTCTGGTTCAAGATTTACATGTCAGAAAAAATTAATGTATTTGTGAAATTTTGTCCTTATCTTCAACAGGAAGGGGGCGGAATTTTAATATTTCACGGGTAGCAGGAGGGCACCCAATTCTGGATCCAGCATTGTTTATATTAGAAGCAAACAGAGCTCTAGGTCTTCTACTGGAATTGTTGCAATCGGCTAACACTCTTCGTGGTTCTTTGATAATTACTCTTATTAACTGGTGAGCCTTAACATTCTAATTATCACATTTTTATCAGTGTCAATTTCTTATTAACTGCTTATTCATAAAAAAAGAATTCTTATTAGCTGCTTCATTTTCCTCCGAAGGTATTGTTGGTTAACTTTTTATGCTATATTTGTAATGGTTCAGGTCTACTTATAAAAAGATAGCTTGCTGCTTGGCAATGCTTAGCTAAGTTTAATCTAAATCCCAATAACTTTGGGTTGGTTATATGAATCCTATTTCTTCATGCCACTTGGTCAAGGGCCATATCTTTGTTAAGTTATGAAAAAAAATCTCAATTTCGTAGGAAACAGATATTTAATGTGCTAAGATCTGTAATCCCAGTAGAAGAGATACAATGACCTGAAATGAGGAAATCTGAATAAACATAGGTTTTGCTACAATAATAGTTGGAATGAAATTATGAATAATTAAATAATGGAATAATTAGTCAAACTATTTTTTTTTTCTGCAAGGGTAAAGTTTACCTCCTGATTATCAGGTTGTCGTTCCTTGGGAAGTTTCACATTCTTTTTTCCAGTTGCCTCAATCATTTTTAAATTGATCATCTGTTTGTATTATGGTGCTTTCTTCTAGGTTCCAAGCTACATCTTGTGGCTGATATTTAATTTTTTTCCTAGCATGGTAATGGATTTGCAAGGATATAGGATTGTAGCTTTTGCCTAAAGATTAAGTGGTCTTGTTGTTTGACATAACTGGAAAAAGAAAAGGAGATATTATGTGGGCAGTGTGGCTGGCCATGGCCAGGCCAAGATTGGGGTGCTTGGCACCTGTACATTATCTAGTCTTTTCAATTAATTAATAGAGTTTGTTGATCTGTTACTGATTGAAACACACGCACAGACATACTTTGATCCCCCTTTTGTGAATAACAAAAAAATATCTCATCAAGTATTAAACACTTCTCTATTTTGTTTGTTTTTCTCTACTTTTTATTTCTGGTGGGAATCAGGCACAAATTTCATATTCACTAAAGGAATATGCCATATTTTGATATAAGAATGCGACCAATTGATCCCTTTATTTTGCTTTTGTTGGCAGAGTGCATTGAAACTTATTTTTCCCACTCTGTCTTGTGGGTTTAATGATTGGTAGAGTTACAGGATTTATTTAATATTTATTTATTTTATGCTGATTGGCTTGATGCAGTAGTTATTAGTTAAAAGCTTCAGTTTCCTTTGAACCCATGTTTTTCTCCCTTGGACTAGTAGCTTTGTTGGTAGTCAGTGCTTTCTAATAATGAGAAACAAAATTATATGAATGAAACAAGTATATATTTGTGGTGGTGTGCCCCAGCCCTGCTGCTCTCCCTAATGGTTTGTAAAGCAAGTGGAGAAAACCAGGTTTGGACCTGGTTTTGTGGTACCAACATATTTATTTGACAAATAATTATCAGGACTAATGTTTATTGCATGGACATCTCTTCTCTTGTACAAAGACTTATTGCACATTCTGTTGTATTGTTCTTTTTCATGTACTGTAATACAAACCAATACTTTAACCTCACACTTTCAAGGAAAAGAAAAAAATATCTTCAATAGAGAAAAAAATGAAAAAAAAACTTAGATGTTTTATACTTTGTTTGTCCTTCCCCTATTTTTGTTATTTCTTTTTCTTGCTGAGTGGAAGCCCTTTTGTATCTATTTTGATTGATAAAGTCTTTTCTGTCTTGCTGAAAAACATCAAACATCTCATCAATCTGTTTACCAATTCTCCACAGTTGATGACATTAGTATGTGTGCATTGTATTTGGTTATTGTTGTCTGCCAATTGGTAATTAAATTTTCTAAAGGTTTTCACCCTTAAGGTGTAACTGTATGAGATTTTGACAGCTGGGAAACTTGAACAAGTGAAAAAGCATTTAAGTGGATCATTGTAGAGTAGGGAACAAGTTCAGTAATTTGAATTTCACCACTGTTCTCACTTTAGCTACCCTTGGTATCTTGATCCTGATCAACTGAAAGTTGCAATTCCAGTTAATACATGTTACAAGCAGGCATGATTCAAATGCATATGTGATATAAGGAAGACACTTCAGTTTATGCATTTTAATATGCAATCTGATACTTATTTAGGTGTTTTTGTATATTCAATGTACCAGTTATTCTTTGTCATGTTTGGATGTGTTCATGTGGACTGTGACTGTCCATATACACATCTACATGCTCACCCCTTGACAAGACAGATGTTAGTGTTGCCTTCTGTTGCAAGTACAATATTGTAGTCCAATCGAGATTGTTTTACTGCAACACAATGATGAGACAATTTATCCTATTTTATCAGATTCGCTCCGGAGGATGTACAGGATATGGGTTGTTCCAAAAATATTTCATTCATAAGAAAAATCCTTCTGGTCACATGTTTGATATGTCTTATCCACCAAGAAAAAGGAAGTCTTACTTTATGTCTAGAGTTCTTGATGTAGCACGGCGAGTAATACAGGATTATACATGTAATTTTGATGTTTAAAATTTCATGTTTTCCAGTAGTACTATCGTATGACTATTTCCTACATTGCCCTAGTCTGCCCTGAAATAGTTGTAGTATTTAATGACTATATATGTTTCTGACTTTGGCTGATGTTCTCCTGCATTCCAGTCATTAGTTATCTAGGGTATGATAATGCATTATGGTTAGATTGCATTGCCCTTATGATGTCATGCATGCCTTTTGTTTTTTGTTATTATTTTCTTTTAGATTTATGAGGGCCTTAATTGTTTTCACTATAGCTGTAAAGTATGTTTTGTTTTCTGTTTCACTGTTTTTTTATTGGTAGTTCTACTGTTTTTTAGAAAATTTGAAAAGGCTACTGAAGTTTGGAAACAGGTTGTAGTGCAAGTTCATCTGCTATTAATGGCATTATTGTGGCATTCTCACCAGCTCTCTTGTCTGAAGAAAGACGACAGTGTGGTGATAACTGATTGGGCTTGTGCTTGAGACTGCTGCATCGATGGCTCAAATAATGGGAGTAACGGGACTAGACAATATTAAACTGGACGTCATATGGCTACTGGGGTCTAGTTGATGCCAACACCATTGACCAGTTATAGGAGATGAGAATCAATGAATGAGATTTACCATCCTATGTGCTGAAAGGATCTTATTTGTCATGTGTTGCAGTTTATGTCTGTAAACTGTGTAGTCCATCTATTTCTTGGAATATCATCTGCTGTATGTTGATACAGCTGTTGGTTTGCAAGTGCCATTTGGAATTGTAATAATTATTTTTAACTGTCGATACACATTCAACTCTTGCAATAATTAAAATTCCTTTTCCTTCTGATTTTTTAATCACCCGGCAACTTTAACATTGCTTCCCGTATCATGATGGTTGGCTTTTTCTTCATTTTTTTTTGTTTCTCTCCTTCCTATTTTCTGTTTGTCTTGTAGCAGAGGTTCCTTTTCTGGAACATTCTTTGCTTTATTTGTTCTATATGTGGTGATGCATAACAGTGGTGGCCTGGTATTTGATGAATATGCACTTGTAAATTTGGAGGCCGTTTGCTCCAATTTTTCTTCTTAACCAAGTAGGTTATGAATTCACCCCAATTTTGTTTTTCTCGTCCTTTTTGCTTTCATCCATCAACTTGGTCCATTGAAAAAAATTCCATAAGATGAGCTGTGGATTCAGTTGATGGTTGTGTAAGCTGTACATCTAATGATCAAAATATGTGTACGAGGGGCAGACTATTGTAAAGAAATCATTCACTGCATGGTGATGCTTCGAAGTTGTTACTATTTTGATATTTCATTTTCACTTGAAAGGGTACTCTAAGGTCTTTATAAGCTTGAGTTCTTTACGTTTTTACAAGAGCTTATAAAATTCATGTCGCACCAATTCGTTTCATTTGCCTGTGAAATGGGTGAGGAACAACTATTCCATCTAATTCACACGATATGAATTGACATCTCTGCAGCTCAGTCCATTCATTTAATGTGCTTCCATGGGGTAAACATGTGGAAATCATGATTCAATGTAATCTATCTGACATGCCTTCTCCTAATTCCTTTGTCAAAACTCTCGTAGTCACATTTTTCTGAGAAACATGATGAACTAATTTCTAGTTGATGAAATATTTGTTTCGAATAATTGTCCTTGTAAGATGGGTGTAGGTAAAAGCCAAAAAAGTTCAGGGAGAGCAAGATGATATTAACCGGCACATGTCTTGTTTCTGCCTAAGTGGACATTACAGAACTTGAAATAAATTTTGATTCATATTTCTAATTCAAGTTATATGGAACTGTTAATAGAAGTTAATGTCTTCTTGATATCAATTTGATCTGCTGCTTCTGGTGTTATATGTATATTTAATTTTTTTCCTTAATAAAAGAACTATTTACAGACCATTTATAAAAAAATAATATTTACAGACCAGATTGATGCCAAGAGCAGTGCTGTACTTGGTTTTCCAGATGAACTTGTATTAGAGGCTAGGTGATTATTTGTGTAAAATGTTGATCAACTACTAGTTGCCAAATCATTCCCACTTTTTGTTATGACAAAAGAGATGCTGCATCTCTTTGTGTTCAAAAAGAAGTTCAGGCAGAACAAGTGTTTGCTATGCTGCTTGGATAGGCAGGTGCTGGTATGCACTAAATAGATGCCATTATTGTAAATAGATAAAAATTTAACTGTTTTTTGTCATAATAATGCCTCTAGGAAAATTTTCTAGTCATGTTATAGACTACATGGTTCCATGGGTAGCTATATGCTTGTTTTTTTGTAGGCTGTGGATGACTACCAGGGGAGGGGATGTTCTAAATATATGTGCTTAGATGCATCATCATTCCTGGACCTTCTACTCATAGTGATTGATTTGTCAAAGGAATGGAGTTAGGCTAATAACGTTCCTTGCTTTCTAATATTGTGTGCTCCTTTTTGTGAAAGGTTATGTTTGCATGCTAAGGCTTTAAAAAAAGCATGCATGTAGTAGTTGCCCTTAATATGTTCATATGTTTGAGGATTTTGAGTACTG